CCAGCACCACCCGGGGTTTCTATCCATACCCGCAGAACTATCAAGATATATTCGCAACCAAGCGTCGCTAAAAAAAGATGTATCAGCAATAAATTTTCGAAACAGGGCTCATTTTAATGATGACGCTCTCGGAGAAAGCGAAGAGGGGGAGTGAGTGCGGGGGGAGGGGGAAAAGGAGAGAGAACTTGAGAGCGGTAGTGCGATCCCCTCTTTTTTTTTTTACCTTTTTCTTTTTCCCATTCTCCGCCGCGAATCACGCCCCAGCCACCCACACCCCTCGCTTTGGATCAGTTCTCCGATCGCCTCCTCATGACGTCCTCCGCCAATCCAACTCAATTCTCCATCTGCCGTGGTGCGGCTCACCTGTGCTTATCCGTTATCATCGACGAAAACCGACGGGGGCGGGTTGGGTGAAAAGAAAAAAAAAAGATTTGATTACGTTTCTTTTTGGTTTGGGTGGCGGTGATTGTTATGAAGTAGTAGGTTGGGTTGGACGGACGCTCTTTCGTCATGGTCACGCTCCCCTCATCAATTAGCAGCAGCAACTTCGTCTGCTTTAATTAATTAATCAATTAATTAATTAATTAATCAATCACTCATGTAGAAGGCAAAGCCCCAGCTCATCTGTCACTGTTCGTCGGGGTTCTTGAGTTCTGCATCGGCGAGCGCGATAGAAAGTGAGGAAAAAGCAAGGGGAACCATGGCTTGCCGCGCTGCTATGCTGCTGCTGATACCACAGAGGAGGCGTGCCCAGGCGTTATCTATACCCGCAAGGAGAAACCCCTGGTACCTCTCCACAGTGCATATACTTTTTGGCTACTAGCCTCTGTCGAAAACCTTTAGCCATGTTCCTAGAGCGGGTCGAATTGGGTTTAGGCGGGCTGATTTCTCGGCCTTAACCTCGCTAGGATTGGTCGCGAGGACAGGCCCCTTTTCCATAATTGCATTGGTTTCGCACCTGAGATACGAGTAGATGACGAAACTTTGGTTGTGTAATAATAAGCTCAGGCCGTCGCTATTTGCATTTCTATCGCTTGGGAGAACATTGCTGCGAAACCCATCGTATCCTTATATGCTGCTGGTTGCTATATAATCAAAGTCATGTGCCGGTGCTCTTCATCTATGGATTAGGCTGTTCCAGGCGATGATCTGCTCCGTTCGTCATGATCTAAATGGCTCAAAACATCTATAGTACAAAAAATCTAACATATATTTTTCATTGTCTTTTTGGTTATATTGTCGTAAAGCCGTTAATTTTACAATCAGTTCCTGCATGAGTAACTACAACCCAATATGCCCATTTTTTTTTTGTTTATATACAATCCAAAACATATAAGTCAAAATGAACGGAGCGGATCGAGTAAAATGATTGCATATAATCTAGTTCTGGAGGCGCTACTTAGGAACACTTTTTCTATATATGATCTTAATGCTTTCTTGTACTGTAGGTTTTGCAGAAATGTTCTTCCAAGTGATATTGCTATTGAGATTGAGGATGTGTTCTTCCATCTCCACAAGGTAGCGTACAGTTTGTATTCATTATGAAATTTGTCAGAACATTGACACATCAGTTTGATTATATAGCAACCAGCGTATAAAGATACGATGATTGCCTGTTCTGGGTTTTATGGGAAACAAAATTACGAGGTAATGTGGGTCTGTTAAACTGTACTTGGATGATTTATCTGCTAGAATTCCATGATGCTTTTAGGTAACAAACATGCAAATATTCGCAAACTGATGCTATTAGATAATGTTTCCTATACGTTGTCCTAGTCTAAAATGCAAAAAATTGCATACTTTCTGTCTGGATATTTTTCAAAAGTTTCTCTTTCTTTTGCTTCTCCAGAGTTTGGGTTCTGGTTGTCTAGTTTATTTCACTTTAACTGTCAACCTTTACATCAGAAATTATTAAAAAAAAACAATGAATGTTACTAGTTTGAAGTAAACTATCATAATTAACTCTTCCTTTCCCCTCCTTGCCTCAACATTTATTTCTCTGCCATATTGTCTTCTGTTGAACTGCAACAATGAGACATAGTGCTTTTGGTTAAAAGTTCATTTTCCATGCCTTTCACATTATGGATGATGGTGTCAGCATCTGTTGACTCATTCTGAGGTTCCTCTATTCTTGAAAATTAATTGAATCAAATTTGGATCAATAAATAGACTGTTGCTTACTCAATTAGAACTTTTTTATACTCATTATGACATTTATTTTGTGACCATTGTTCAAGAAGAACCAAATGTTATTTACATGTTAGCTTATAAGATAAGTAGCTGAGTTCTGCAACAGTCTTTTATAAATCTGAGATAAATCAGAAGAAATGTGATCAAGAGATTGAATAAAATGTAACTAATTCTCTCCACATGGAAAAACATGTCCTAAGCCATTAAAATTTATTCCATTTATTTTATGTTATATTCAGTTGAGGAGTGTCCCTAGGGTAAATCTAATATTTGTATTTTACATGGAAAATCCTATTGATGAATGTGGAGTTGTGGGCACATGAAGTAATACCTATGCTGTAATTATTTGCATGTCGGATCAATTTGTAACTATTTAAGCTTCATTGTTGAGGGCAACATGGCAACAATAACACTCCTATGAACCATATGAGTTTTTCATGCAGATGGGATGTTCTTTTAAGAGCTAGTAATTTTCACACATCATCTATTATTGTCCCCTTGTCCTTCTACACAATTACAATTGAGATTGTTAAGTTGCCTTTCTTAACTTGTTTGAGAAATATGCAGTTGCCTTTCTTAACTTGTTTGAGAAATATGCACATATTGTCTAGATGGCTCCTTCAGGACAACATAACAACTCTTCCAATAGTTCCCCTCCATGGACTCCTTGACCAAACAGAGAATGATCTTATATTGTAATTCTTTTTTAATATAGGCGTCCACACTCTTCAATCACAAGTTACGTCATTTGTCTGAGCAATAATTAATGCTATAGGTTCTTCTTTACTAACTTGGTCATCTAGCGTAACTGTCTCAGATTTAATCTGTCATTTGTCTGAGGAATGGTTTTCTCTTTATCAAGATCAAATCATGACAACTTATCTAGTCAATAAATTAGCAACTTGTGAAATTCCCCACTTACTAAAACATTATGTTTACCCAGTTCAATTCGTGAATGTCAGTAATTGATGCCTATATTAATCCTGATTTATGTGACGTAAATGAACTGAAACTTGGACTTATCCAATAGCATTTCAATCATTTGGTCTATGCTCTGACACTATCATTTTATTAGTTGCTGGATATGATTGGTAACAGAAGTATATTCAATAGAATATGTCAATTTTCTGGTTTTTACTTCTTACATTATTTGCTTCAAGGAACTCGGAGATATTAAAACAAGCGAATCAATGACTGCATTTGTTTGTTTGTTTGTTTTTCTTTTTTCAGTTTCCGCTCTTGTCAAAATGTGGAAAGATTGCAAGAATTGTAGGAGATTCTAAAAATGAGAAAGAAGATGTATATCATATAATAGGATGTCCGGGGGGGCCTGATGGATTTTACCTTGTAGCACAGTTTTGCTATGGAATCACGGTGGAATTAACACCCAAGAACATATTAATGGTGTGTTCTGCAGCAGAATATCTTGAAATGACAGAAGAATTCGGAGAAGGTAACTTATTGGCCATGACAGAGAGCTTCATTCACAAAGATATCCTCCGAAGCTGGAAAAATTGCATACTGGCCCTTCAAAGTGCACAGCATTCTATTTTCAAAGCGGAAACGCTCCCAATTGTGAGCAAATGTCTTAATTCGCTCTCAACAATGGTATGTACTGATCTTAGCCTATTTGGATGGCCTATGATGATGTATGGAAGTTTACAAAGCCCTGGAGGTAGTATCTTATGGAATGGAATAAACACAGGGGCTCGGATTAGAAGCTCAGTATCTGACTGGTGGTTTGAAGACATTTCAGGCCTCAGCGTGCCAATGTTTCATAAGTTAATGGAAATAATGGACAAGAGAGGGGTAAGATCAGAAAATATAGCCAGTGCACTTATGTACTATGCGAAAAAACATTTACCTGGTCTTGACCGATGGCAGAGTTTTAGTTTAGTACCATCTGTTGATCCGAAGGACCTATTGGAAAAGATTACAGTGTTGCTCCCTGAAAAGAAGGGAAAATCATACTGCAGATTCTTGTTAGGACTTCTACGAATTGCTTCCATACTAAACGCTTGCAAGCCATGCAAGGACTCTCTGGAGAGAAAAATTGGCATGCAACTTGAACTGGCAACACTTGATGATCTTTTGATTCCTAGCTTCTCAGATTCCTATAATCTATATGATACGGATTGCATTGAGCGGATTGTAAGGTATTTCTTATCATCTCAGGCATCTTGTATCCCGCCTTTTTCTCCTTCATCTGATCCTGAACTTTCTCCATCCTCTAGTCCTTTAAGTACAGTTACAAAATTAATAGATAGTTACCTTGTTGAGATTGCTCCTGATGTAAACTTGACTCCCGAAAAGATGCGCTGTCTTCTGGTGGCTCTTCCAGAGTCCTTAAGATCGCTGGATGATGGACTGTACCGAGCACTTGATGTCTATTTCAAGGTCTGCATCTGTTAATTGTTATAGTAAGAAATTATGAAATTGATTTTTCATTCACAAATTCCTTACTGCCATTAGTTTAACTATAGGGCCTATTATACTAATACCTCCATAGAGCAGTATCACATGTGCATCATATGCTTGGAAATTCTTGCTGAATACTCCTTTTGGTTTATTCTATTATGATTAACAAGTCTGAGATAGTACCGCGATCTAATGATCTCAGAAAACCCTCCTTAATTCTGGGGTTTTGCAGATACCTATTTTTATTCCAAAAAACTTCCTGAACTTTTAAAAGGTGTTTTGCACATAACACCCTCAACTTCATTTATTCCACTAACCCTTGATTTTTCAAGTTAACCCCAATGAGACGTTATCCAGTTTGACATTTTACGTGCCAAGCACGTGGCCAAGGTGAACGTACCCCTCAGCTATAAAAAATTAATGGAAATAATATAAATGAAAAAAGGCCTATGTGGGTATTTTTCCTTTTTATGATCACATGCTTGGCAGATAATTTGTTCGACGGTGTTAAAGTGAAAAATCTTTAAGGGCCTTAGTGGAATAAACGAAGCTTAGAGGGTTATGTGCGAAACTCCTAAAGTTCAGGGGGCTTTTGTGGAATTAAAATAGTTACGGGTGTAATCTGCAAAGCCCAAGTCAGGGGGATTTTCTGAAATTAACTCAAACTCCTTATATCCGTTTGAGCATCGACTATATGGTCAAACTGCTTAGACAGCAGATACACTTTGCTTGGTATTGATAGATTTTGTTGCTGATGGCAAATAATAACCATCACCATTATCATCATCGGAACCTTGATCTTTGTCAAGCAGCATGAATAAGAACCTGTAGCAGCAAGTAATAATATGTTCAAATAACACCCTTTGAAAATCTGAATACATTGGTCTCCCATAATAAATATCCTGATCTAGTTCCCGATCTCACAGGCACACCCTTGGCTTTCACACAATGAAAGGGAGAATCTCTGCAGCATTATAAACTGTGGAAAGCTCTCCATTGATGCATGTAGCCATGCATCACAGAATGATCGGTTGCCTCTGAGGTTCGTCCTCCAAGTACTTTTCTTCGAGCAATTGCAGCTACGAACAACTATTTCCAATTGCCTTAATGGCTTGGAAGGCGACAGCGCACCAACTAACACCGCGAACGACACAGTTGGAACAATTGTGCAGAGGGATGGGTGGGTTTCTCTTATACAGCAGAACCGATACTTGAAAGTGGATATGGAGCGCATGAGGTCGAGGGTCAGACAGTTGGAACGAGAACTCACGAACATAAAACATGATATGGGTAGTACTGGCAGATCTCATGGTTTGACTCGTAGCAAATCTAGAACGCTTTGGTGTGTTCCTTTACTACCTGGGGCCAGTGATGCATCTCCGGCAATCATTCAAAGTACAGGCCCGAGCCCCAGAAGATCATCGGCGGGATCACATATTTCTCGTACGTGAACGCAAACGCGTGTGTAAATCATTTCTTAATTTGTTCATAGTAACACTACCCGGAGAGTTACTTTCATGTTTTCTTTGAGGAAAGCAGCACAGGGGTAGATTGTTAAACGTGCATGGTAGAGTTTGCATATCTCTGTTCAAAAAAATTGGGTAGCGTTTGACAAACTGAGTTAACCGGATCAGCAATAATCCTAGTTTGGCTTATCTAAACATTTTTCGACCAATAATATAGCCAAGAATAACCCAAGTTAGTCTGGTTGCCCGGTTCAGAGCTGAGCCCCTAAAAGAGGATACAAGACACCAAACACTTATATCATGGGTGGCACTAGGGGCACACCCCCAACCACACCCTCAACCACACCCCTTCTCTCATTTGTTACAATGTACCGGACCCCAAAATTGAAGAAAGTCTTCAATTTTGGGAATAGTTGTAGAAAATCTTCAAATTTATTAACCCCAAAATTTTAAAAGAAAAATTCTTTAAGGACCCAAAATATGGGACCAATAGGAGGGGGACACCTCACTTGTCCCCTTTATTGGTCTTATATATTTGGGTCCCTGTAGCAAAGTTTATTTTAAAACTGTCACTTCACCCTCAACAACTTCGATATTCTAGAAAATCTTCAAACGTTTTTTGCCCCTCTTCATTCACTTAACCCCCTAACAGCGTCAGCTTATATTTTGTAATCCCGAACAAATAATATCACATAAGCACGTAAGGTTAGTCATAGGGGGTTAGTTGAAGGAAGTCAAAATGTTTATAGTTTTTATTTATTATTATTTTTTTTGAATTCCCAAGCTTATCTGGGATTTAGCGAGGATTTCAACTGAGGATGAAGTGCAAAACACCCAGCTTACTGGAGTTAGTGAAGTTTACCTGTTAAAGTGGAATAATATTTCGCTAGTGGGATATTTTAGTGGGATAACTAGGAACAATTTTATGAAGCGGGATATTTTAATAAAATAACGTGGGATAATTTTTTATAATTATGAAGTATATATTTATGCATTTTGAAGATATAAATACTATTTATGTATTTTAAACTTACTATTATTAATTGATAATTGCTTACAAGAATGTTCGTTACTATTAAATAACTTTTGGTTAGACTATAAGATATTGACAATTATTATGATGATGATGGTTTAATGATGGTGATAACCATAATAGGAAATAAGTAAAGAAAAAAAAAACAAAATAAATACGAGTTGTAGTTTTTTACCACATAGTTCCAAGCTAAAACTTGGAATAATTTGAGAGACTAGAACTCTCATTTTTGTATAGAAAAATAAAAAAAGTGGGATAATTTTGTACAATTATCCCAATTCTAGTTTTGTTAAAGTTCTGCTTGACTAACACTGTAAAATTTTATTCTAGTTTTAGTTCTATGTGACTAACACCTTAAAATTTTGTTCTAGGTTTAGTTCTATGTGACTAACACCTTAAAATTTTATCCCACAGATTATCTCAGTTCTAATTTTAAGTTCTAGGTGACTAACCCCTCTGAGGGAACTAGTTGTCGTGTATTATAAAATAATAATAATAATAACAATAAATAAATAAATAAAAACATTCTAGTTTCAAATTCAAAGGCTGAGATCCTTATCCTTCAAAATAAATTCCAGTCATATTTTCTAGTTCTAATAGTACAGAAAAAGCCAAATATCACACATAGAAAGGGGTACAAATGATATCAAAATATTTTTTAGGGTATTTTTTTCGAGAAACTGGTTAAAATAGGGTAATATACCTAAACGCATTTTGAATTCAATTTGTACATACACCACTTTTAAAGTGCACCATTTCCCACTCAATTTTTTACTTTAAAAGAAAGCAAAAATAAGCTTAAAAGAAATCGAGGTCAAGGCATGCGAGTTGTATCCTATCGATATCTAACATGAAAAAAAAAGAGTCACGTATCTTGGATATGAGTTTATTAAAGGATAATTTTATATTTTTAATGAAATATTTGACTAAGATGTGGTTGGTTACAATAAAAATTCAATTTAAAAATGGTTTATGTATGAACTAAAATTGAAATGTGATTTCTGTATAATTACGGACAAATTTTCAAAACCGACCCCTTTGGATTTTTAATTGCAAAAAACGACCTATTTCAGTTTTATTTATAAAAACCGACCCAGTTAGTTGAAACTGGGTCGGTTTTTGAAATTTTTTTTCCAAACTTCACGGGAGTTCAACTCCCGTGAAGTTTTGTTATGAGAAAAACTTCACGGGAGTTCAACTCCCGTGAAGTTTCCCAAAAAAATTTAAAAAAACCGACCTGTTTTCAGCTAAACAGGTCGTTTTTTGTAAATATTTTCAAAACCGGTCGTTTTTTGCAATTAAAAACCCAAAAGGGTCGGTTTTGAAAATTTGTCAGTATAATTACTCTATTTTTAAGGCAATGTCTAGCAGGGGCGGATCCAGGATTTTAGTTCTAGGGGGGCCGCGTACAAAAGATAGATAAAAAAAATTTCTTAATGTAATTTTATTCACAAGAGATATACCACAACCCACATAAAACGAGTAGAATAGCCAACATTAATATCTCCAAAATATTTCAAAAGAGGAAGATAAATATTATATAAAAAATAGTCAAATAAGCATCATCTATTTTTTTTTATAACTAAAATTTCTCTAACTAAAAGGAATTCGATGTTCCTTAAAATTTTCAAAGTCTTCAATGATAGCATCAATGCTTAGACTTTTAGCAATTTATCTTTCAATAAACACCATTAATGCGTCGGAGAGGAAAGCATCCTCCATTTTGCTTTGAAGTCTAGTCTTGACGATATTCATAGCTGAGAATGATCGTTCTGCAGTAGCGGTAGAAACTGGAAGAGTAAGCACAAGTACGATCACTCTAGAAATGAGGTCGTATGTAGCAGATTTATTAGTCTTTACCAACCATTGACCCAACTCAGAAATGGTTGAAAGAATTTTGAAGTCTGACCCTTTGACTACATTATGCTCATAACGTTTCAGTTGCATCTTCAAACTCTCTTTTTCTTCACTTGTAAAATCTTGTGCATAAAACTTGCCAACCAATTTGCATATATATTGTATTCTCAAAGGCTCAGATGCATTTTGAGGATTTAAGGCAGAACTAAGCATGAGCAATTCTGTCGCATCTTCACTAAAACGCACATTAATTTCTTGCATTTGTGAATTGATCGCGACATAAAGAAAGTCTAATCGATAATGATGCCCAATGGTGATGTCTTGATGACCACGAGCTCATTCTGCCCATTCGCTAAATACCTCTCCATAAATTTCCAATTTCAATGAAACTCCCTTTATTAATCTTGTTGCTACTCATGGTAATATATTTACTATTAATATATACATAAAAACCCTCAAATAATTAATATTCACAAACTAATTTTTTCCCCAAATTAGGAATAGAGCACCCTAATTTTTCCCCCAAAAATTTTGAGGGGGCTTGAGGAATAGAGCACCCTAATTTTTTTCCCCAAATTTTGGGGGGGCCGTGGCCCCCCTTAGACTGTATGTAGATCCTCCTCTGATGTCTAGGAAAAAATCGTATCTACACATCCTAATGCTTTAATTGAAGGAATAGATTCTAATCATTAGAAAAAAGATAACAAACTGAAATCAAATAAAAAAATTTCTGAATAAAAAATGAAAAAGAAGATGCATAACATATGGTTACATCGAAGTTCATTCGAACTTGCTCTGGCCTTTAGGTACCGTTTGGCAAAGGGTTAAAGTGAGGGGTTAAGGGGACTTAACACATTCTTAACCCGCCAAACACAAAAAATCTATATAAATGTTAAAGTGAGTTAACCCTTCATAATTTACCAAACATAAAAAATATAGAAGGGTTAAGTTAACTCTTCTAGAGTGATTAAAATGAGTTAACCCCTCAAAATGAGGGGGTTTACTAATACCTCTATTTAGAAGGATTAAGAGTTAACCCTTCTAATTATAAAAAATAGTCATAATCATTGTTATTCTCAAACATTAAAACTGATATCAAAAACTAAAATAAAATTTATTTAACAGATTAATAATTTAATCTTTTTAAATTATCAAATGAGCTAAATATATTAATCATTCCTTTTAACCATTATTCCTCCACCATTGACAAAGAGCTTGTTCGGTTAGAATTGTGAAAACTGGTTGGATGAAACTAGGCAGTCTAGGCCCCTATAAAATGGATGACCGTAGTTTGTCAAAAACAAATAATGGTAGTCTTTTCCCGTATCAGTAAGTTTTAAACTTTTAGTCCCTCAAATTATTGGCATTGCATTGTGTCCCTCATTCTTATATCTTGGCTCGCTTATGATGATCAGAGGGATCAACTTGTAGGAATTAGGAGACCTGAAAACAATTAAATGGACTAATTTGAAGTGGTAGTGATATAATACACACGGAGTGTAACTAACTTAGTTACATACACCTGTAAAAATACATATTTAACCATCAACACTAATAATCCACACCGTTCATTTTGACCTATGCATTCATTGCTTCATGGAGATTAAAAATCACATAGCTTTAATACTTCTAGTTTATACATCTAATAATCTAGATATAAATGATATGTAACAGTCTCAGGTATTGATTATTTTGAGTCGCTTAAATTTTAGGATAAAAAATTTCAAATTATCTGATTTTTTATCCACTTAGATCTGATGCACGGTGTGGGTCATTAGTATTGATGGTTAAATGCATATTTCTACAAATGTGTGTAACTAATATAGTTACACTCTCGGTGTATTATAACCCCACCCAATTTGAAACAACTTTATAGGAATTGAGATTTCGAGGATTCGGAAGACTAATTTGAAAAATGTAAGGGACCAATATCGAAAACTCCCAATAAACAAATGGGTGAGCGATAAACAGGACTTGGTGTGGATTCCACCAGGAAAGACGGAAACCGCAAAATGGCAGACATAAGTGGGCCCCGCACGTCCTTTAACTGTTCGGTGTTAATTAACTGGGACCGTACAGTCCGTAACGTTCCCGTAGCCGATAAGTCACTGGAGCCCGCCGACCGTTACCATGTTAGTGACTTTTGCCACACAAGAAGCCCGACCCCGTGTTCTAACGTCGTTTGTGCCTCCGCTTTGGTCGGATCCAAGAAACGTAATACCTAACCCTAAACGCCGCCGCGCCCCAAAAAGATGGCATTCTTGCTGTACGTATGACTTCGCCTTCTCGAGACGAAGCTCAGGTCTTCTCAAAGTCACCAGCATCAGCACCACACCATTCAACACTACTCAGCAAGCAGCAGCAGCAGCAGCTTGACGCGGAAGCGGTCCCCTTTTCTCATCGGTACATCGGCCGCGGCGGCCGGCTGCGGCCTGGCGGCGGCGAAAAGGCTGGAGGCGGTTTCGATCCATCCTCGGCCTCTTCCTCCTTAAACACCATTGCAAGCCCTAAAAAGGGTTGGCGCAGAGTGAGGGCTACAGCCGAACAGCGTTTCGTCAGTCGTCATAATTGTCTTCGCCGCTGCGACGATAGAGCGAAGGTTTCGCTGCGCTCAGTACGCAATAGAACGAAGATGATGAATGGCGAATGATGATGGAGATGACGGGGACCGTAGATCTCATGGCGATCGCTGCGGCAGCCACGGTGGCCCGCGGCTCTGCATTCGAGCAAAGGCGGAAGGATCGGCAAGAGCTAGCGATTGGGAGAATCACTCCGCTCTACTATAACTCAAAGAATCGAGGCCGACCGTCTCGTCGGCACTCGGCGGTTTGATTACCGAAAGGATCGAGAGGAGTGGAGTGATTCGGCGATTGCTTGCCTTCTTGATGCTTACACTGAGAAATACATACAATTGAATCGGGGGAATTTGCGGGGGAGAGACTGGGAGGATGTTGCTACTATTGTTAGCGAGAGGTGTGATAAGCATAAATCGGGGAAGAGTGTGGAGCAGTGCAAGAACAAGGTTGACAATCTTAAGAAGAGGTACAAGGTTGAGTGCCAGAGGCTTGTTA